CGGTGACGACGTCGGTGGTCGGACCGGAGGAGTTTGACCGCAATGCCCCGCGGATTTGCGGCGTTTGTGGCGACAAGGCCACCGGCTTTCACTTCAACGCAATGACATGTGAAGGCTGCAAAGGATTCTTCAGGTGAGAGTTGTCTCTTATCTGACATTTTTTTGTGTATTTTCTATATTTTGTTTTTATTCTTAGTGTCAGTTAGTGGAGAAACCTACGAGTGCAATCAGCAGCCTTTCCGTGTAAAGGAGAGTTTTTTTTTTTTTTGTTGCATTAAATATTCATTTTGTTTTCCTGCATGTTTCACAAATTCTGAAAACTTAACCCATTATAAAACTGTCATTTGCTAATTCATAAATTTAGGGTATGTTGTAGCTCTGCCATTAGATTAAAAAAAGTTTTAATTTTAGGCAGTACTGATAGGCACTTTTCTTACTCACTGCATAAACAAGTTTAAGAATATTCTTGCTGTCAGCTACATAAAAATGAATAAAAAAACATCTTATTTTACTTTTTTAAAACTATTTACATTATTAGTGAGTTATTATTATTAAAAATAGGTGAATAGGACTCTTGTTGATATTTGTCTTCATATGCTGTCATCTACCAAAGATTTAAACACACAAATAAAATTAAATATGAGAAAAACCAGAGTTTAAATTGAAAGTATGGTCTTCACTTTTCTGATATACTGTGTAAACAACACATTAGAATAAAAAATACACTTTCTATTTTGCATTCTAATCCTGTTAGTTTTCCCCTTTTTTTCACCAACATTAACAGACTTTTTTGTTTATCAGTTAGTCTAAATGAGACTTAATAACTAAGAATTATTTTAAATATAATTTGTTAAGTAAACCAAATCAAAGCAGACTTGCAGCTTGAACACCACAACAGATATTTTTTAACCCTTTTTTTAACCTCTGTTCTTGCTTTACGCATTCACAAAAACACTTTTCTTTGTTCATCAGTGTGTCTAAATTGGACTCATTAACTGAGAATGATCATAGAGAAATATTTTCAACCCCCCCCCCGTCAAGGGAAAAAATTCTATGAATATCCTAATTTTTGATTAGTAGTAGTTTTCATTTCTGCTAAAATGGGCTGCGTGGTTTTAACCATTTGGAACATACGACAGATGAGGACCTTCAAAGTATTAAGAACATTGTCTTCTGGAAGAGTTATAAGCATTGTGTGAGCATATTTTTCTCAAATGCATGTTAACATTTGGTGCTTATTATAGATAAATCATTTTATTCACAGTGCAGCATGAACTGTACCGCCCCTGCATTGTGAACATTCATGTGGAATAATTGATTTGAAATTCGCTCCCCCAGGCGTAGCATGAAGCGTAAAGCCTCCTTCACCTGTCCATTCAACGGGAGCTGCACCATCACCAAGGACAACCGGCGTCACTGCCAGGCCTGCCGCCTCAAACGCTGCATCGACATTGGCATGATGAAAGAGTGTAAGTCCTCTGCTTTTGAATTTAGCTGCTGCTTTGATGAAGTCAGTACAAGTGCAGCAGTTAAACACAGCATTATTAACAGAAGTGAAGGTCTTTCTCAACCATGGATCTTGCAATCAGCTGTGCCTTAACAGCTCAGAATCAGCTACAACATGGGCTGTGATTGGTTGATTTGACAGAAGATTAATGCAGATTCACCACAGCAAGTGGCAGTACTCCAGATAAAATGTCTACCAACGTGGTCCAAGGATAAAATATTTCTTCCAACATATTTCATCATTTTAAATGTGATGCCATTGAGGAGTATAATAAATAGCCAGTAAATCTTAGAGGTGTGGACTTATCCACATAAAAAAACTAGATGAAACATAGCACTGCCATGAGGATGCAGCAGATAAGATTTCTGAAGGTTGGTGGCGAGGTGATATCAGGTCAGGGTGTAACTCTTTGCTGCCTCTTGATATTCCTTTGATGTAATATTCATTTATGCATCTGAAGTGTTGTAGTGCAGCAGCTGCTGGTGCTGCTTCAAGATCACATGAAAACCACAGCCATTGATGCAGTTTTTTTACTCTTAGCTTTTATGAATTATGCACGTCACCTTAAAGTATTTTTGGCTCGTGCAAAATTTCTACTCTCCCCGCCCTTGGAAACTACACACAAATCAAGTAGTAATCACCATAGCTGTATTTAGAGCAGCATCTAATGGGTTGTGAGTTACACATCAAGAAATATTTTAGGGAGGGATTCCAATGTGCTTGGCATGCCAAGTGTTAAGAGAAAAACAAAAACATTCTATAAATCCAGTCATAAATTCAAGAAAACATTAAAAAAAAAACCCACAAAAACAGATGTAGAATAAAACCTTTAGTTCCAAAAGAGTTGTGATGATTTGCAAATCATATCAACACTATATTTCATTGAAAGCCTTGTCCGGTGTATCATGAGGTTTGGACAGGAACAACAAAATACAGAAAAGTTTTCTAATGCTTTAAAAACACACCTGGGCACATGATGCATGAGCAATAATTTAACGATTTGAAAATAATGCTTGTTTGTTTTTTTTTTTAGTTCTTTTTTTTGTGTGTGTGTGTGTTTTTTGCCTCTTATTGATAGGATAGGGTGAAATAAGGGGAGATAGAGAGAGGGTGAAGGACATGCTGCACGTGGTCGCATCAGACTCAACCTGCGTCTACTGCCAAAACCGTGGTCCGCATACGTGGGGCACGCTAACCTGCTCGGCCATCTACAAAATGGCCCCCAAAATCATGTATTTTAGTGTTAAATTGCGAAGTATTTGAGGATTTCATTATTTACAATCCATAATACTATTAAGAATCCAGAGAAATCATGCAGTCTTTGCACTATTCTTTATTAAAAGTTAGGTTAAAATAATTTGCAGACTCTCAAAATCTGTTTTATCAGCATTTGAAATTGCATCTCACATTTGTAGATCTGGGTTTGTACATTGAGGCATTGAATTCATACTGTTCTCTATTTAGTGGCTTGCTTTGTAACGTTCCTTCATGGAGAGGTCAACAGATGCAAGCTCACTGTCGGATGTACTGACTACACGGTTCGCAAACCTTACAATCTGATTTTAAAAACATTAGGGAAGAACAGCAGCTGAATGTTTTTCGATGTAAACTGATCTGAACTCCAACAAAGGGTCAGACAGTTGTAGATATGCAAAAGGCAGTCTGAGCCATATGGCAAACTCAGGAGGAGGTTATATGCAGAAGATGACATGCGAACTATAAGGCAGGGCTCGTCATTGGTGCAGGTTGGATGGGGTTCCCTAAAAAGAAGTTATGTTTCTGAAGTGGATGAAGCTTCATTGATCTCCATGTTTCAGTCAGCTCTGCTTCTAACCATTTAGGTTGTGCATAAAGTCACAGGCTGTAGTACAGTAAGTAAAAGGCTCTGTGTAGGGAGAATGAAACATCACCTCACACCATGTTTATGCAAAATGACACCACGTCACAGCTGATTCATAACAAGCGACATAAAGAGGTGACCGTATGACTGTATTTTCAATAGTTACAACATCATTGTTCTGCATACCTCCTGTACGGATGTAGAAGGATAAAAGAGCGTTTTTTGCAAGTCAGTGTTGAGCTTACATTTTTAGCATTTTAGGAAGAAGCATCAGAATAACCATGACGACTGTAGGATGACAAGAGGAGAATGAGAGTGAGAGCAAGGAAGGAAGGAAGCCAGGGGGGTTAATGTCCTGATCAACAATGGGTCCCTTTCTTCAAAGAGACACACAATGGTCTGGCCCACATTTCATTCACAAACGGACAGTGTGTTTGTGTGTGTGTGTACACGCTGGTGTGAAACAGAGATGATGCAGAGCAGGGTTCAGACTGATGATAATCTCTATGTTTACCACAATTAGCCACATGACACTGGAGTGTCTGTGTTTCATTGAGAAAAGATGAGAGACAGAGTGAGACTTATCAGGATATAATGCTGCCTTTGTTCCTCACAGTGAGCATATATGTTCATGGTCATGTGATGGAGGAACTCCACCATACTCCCAGGGAACTCCCTAAAACATGGTAGATCTGCAGGGCTGCATTTGTAGCGCACTCTAAAGAGCTGTGTCTCCTACACCCAGGATGTTTGTCCTCTAGGACATAAACTATAACAAGTCAGCAATAATGTTTTTATACCATAATTTTTTAAAAATTGACACTTTTCGATGGATAGGTTTGATATGACATTTGCGATCTGTTTGTTTTTTGCATTGCTTTTTCTATTCTGAATCGATTACCAGTATTAAAGCATTCTGACCAATCAGAATGAGGTATTTTATACAGCCCGGTGAGAAAGCTGGGTTAGGTTGGGGTTTATTTAAATCCAGTGATTTCCACCGTTAGAGGTCGGACCCCAAGGGGAACTTGGAGTTATGATAGAGGGTTGCAGCAAGGCTTGATAAAAAGACATCATTCTGCATCTTTATCAGAGGATTAACCTGTCCACTCTGGGTGTTTTATGCTTTGGACATCATTTCATACATCCAGATTTCCTTATGTTTGGGCACTGCCTTGTTTTTCATATTTTCCTGTAAAAGAAACTACATTTGGCAAACTCAAATTGATGTAAAAGCAAAGGTTATGTTTTCAAAATTACATCTATTGAGGAGTTTAATTCAAAAATCTGACAGACGGTGATCTTGTGGCTCCAGGTTGGAGCTCTGATATGTAGAGAGTCCTCACATGAATCACCTCAGAATAATTACTTAGTGACTATCGGCAGCAGTGGAAAGAACAGACATAATGTCAGACAGGCAGTCTGATTGATGAACAGCCATCTGCCTGTGGATGTGCTGTGAAAGAAGGATAAAAGAGATGCTTATGAAAGCTGTTACTACCAGGGTGCACTGAAGCAAATGAATGATTATAATATCAGGTCTGATGTATGTTAAGTCTAAGCATTAGAGGTCTGTCGTAGAGTTAGTCATGGGGTCAAAGCGGAGAGTGGGTGGATGACCAAGGTTATGGCTTTGTCAGCTTCTCCTAAAAGTACGGTGGCCCTGAGCTGCAAAACACAACGGCAAATCAGAAAACGCAACAAAAAAAGAGAAAACACAACAGCAAATCAGAAAACACAGCGGCATTTACCATTGTGTTTTCTCTTTTTGTGTTGTGTTTTCTGATTTGCTGTAGTTTTTTGCATCTCAGGGCCACCGCATAAAAGTGCTCAGACCCCCCCTTTATAATCCCACTCACATCAGGAATAAAACACTGCAGATGCTGGTCAGAAGACACCAATTTTAAAGAGAAACTACTCTCTGCAGAGTATTGCAGCTACCCTTCTTTTCTCTATACGTCTGCCTGTGTGTCTTCACCTGTGTGCAGCCATCCTTCCCAAAACACTGTAAACAACTTAACTAATCAGCTTTGCTTAGATGCTTCACTGCCTCCACACAGCTAAACACTCTGCAGTAAGTCTCTGTTTCAAAATAGTAATAATAATAATAATAATAATAATAATAATAATAATTCAGCTGCTATTGCATAAGCAGAAACCTCTCAAGAATGACGCTGAGAATGAAGCAGGATAATACGCCGGCGATTATTGCCTGACATTAAAAGCGTAATTCTTCTTATTAGCTCTGATTAATTCCCATCACAGGCAGCTCAAAGCAGCAGGTATTGTGTTCATCTGCTGTCTGATATTGGAGTGATGTGCATTGTTAAAACCTCATTATGCACCACCTATTCTTGCTCTGGTTATCATTATTAAATCTTGGCCACAACTGCAAGGCAGCTTCAAAGGAACCACACATACATCTTTGCATACACTTGAGCACATACAACTAATCATTTGCATCCATGTGTTATAGTCAGCATCCTTTCCTACTGTGCGTATCAGCAGTTTTATGTTAATAAAAGAAATCAGTTTCTCATAAATGTGCAGGCATGGCTGTGGTGCACTCAGTACTCTCATGCACTTGATAATACAGCTTTACCGATGCCTTGGCTCATCTACAATCATAGCTGCAAAACTGCTGGTCTCTATGGTCTGAAAACTGCAGAAAAGGGCAGAAGGTTGGATCTGCTGGGGTCGCACTACCACAGAGAAATTTCCTCTTGTCTCTGTTTGGATGTTTTTTTGTACATCTGCAAATAACCCTGCAAATCCCTGACTTTATCACCCTCTTTGAAATCATAAATCAAACCCAGAGAATGTAGATTAATAATAATCTTTATGTGCACTCACTTCTTTGCAGGGTTTGTTTCCTCTGAGTTCTCTGCTTTGTTATGCAGATGTAGAAATAAAGCTGTGGTTGCCCTGAAAGTCAACAAACACACCGTTGGCAGGTAGAAGGTGGACCGCTGACTGTTTTAACTATTAATAAAAATCACCATAATAAAAATATATCAAGCAGTCTCTCTTTATGCTGTGATTATATCCAAACACTAATGCATATTCATACCAGCACAGATTTAGCAAAGCGAACTCTCCTGAATTGTTAGAATTGATCTTTGTGTTGTTGTTTGCTTGTCTATATGCCTTTGGTCCTGTGACATGTTGCTCATATGACAGACTCCTGACTGGACAGATAACTCGGGAATGTTTGCACATATCTGTACTGTGAACTTAAAAGTGGATACAGCCACTTTGACATCAAACATTTGTTTTTGAAGTATTTTAGGCTCGATGATTTTCATTTTGTCTCTTCTTTTGTAACTGTATGCTTTGGTCTTTATCTCTCTGTAGAGAGCTGCTGAAAGTGTTTGAGAAAGGTATGACCATGACGGGATTTCATACTTTGACTCTGGTGTGCTTACTAACCTTCTGAATCTTTTGTTTTCGACCACAGAAAAGGTTTGTTAGTCTTAGGCTGTATATTCAGCAATACACGTTGTGATTAATAGAGAGATCTCACTCTGTTGTGAGAGGGTTAGGCTGTCAGTAGTCTTTTTGCATATGTGCATTTCTTTCCTCAAATCAGGGCTCCTTTTTGAGTGACAGTTTGCCACCTGGCTTCTCATCCCCTGACACATAGGTCACCTCTATCTGACAGTGTCTGCATGCTCTTGTTTGTCTAACAAAGTTTCCTCTTTATTCAATCATTTGCACATAGAAACTAAAATGCTTCCATACATCAGATTTAAAGCTGCTGGAGCGTCCACATTTAGAAAATTGACCCTGCCTCCCCGAGCAGAAAAAATAAATACTTAAATATGTCATTAATTAATTAAAATGAGACTTAAATAAATTAATGTGTCATTAATTCATTAAAATACCATTTCATTCAGCGTAAAAATATACAATTATTTAATGATTTAATTATTTATTTCATGGACCTGTTCTGCAGTGCTGAATTTATTGAATTTGTGGAATTAATTTATTTTATTTGTCAAACATGCACTGCAACACAGGTCCATAAAATAATTAATGAAATCGTGAAATTATTACAAATGTTTTTACATTGAATGAAATGGTATTTTAATAAATTAACGACACATTTATTTATTTATTTAATTCCCATTTTGATTAATTAATGACATATTTAAGTGTTTATTTAAAGATGTATTTATACATTTCTTTTCGTCCTCCAAACTTTACAACTGTGGCAACAACTCTGGTGTTCCCACTTCCCTTTCCTCTGCTCTGCTGTGATCCAAACAAAACTAATAATAATTCTAAACACTCATGATAGCAGCAAGGGCTGTCTCTATATAGGGATGTTGGCAATAAACATTTTTAGAATAATGAAGTATTGATATGTTGCTAAAAAATTAAGCATACAGTGATCATCTTATTGGCTCATAGTACGGGGTTGATGTCGGTTGCCATCCACCATAAAACAGGAAGGACAAAAGAGAAGTAGCAGAAGCAGAAAAAGAAGATGACTTAGTTACTGGTTAGCTTGTCTTTACCACAAAGTTTATGCGGTGATTTCCACTGCAGAGCTTATCATGTCAGAGGAGGTAACAGATGAAAGGAGGGTGGTCTGCCCGCACTCAAAAATAGTTACCTTCCCATTTTGGGTGTTATGGGGATTTTAAATTATTTATTCGCTGCTTTGATTCTGATGAGACTGTCTGTGAGAAACAGGTGAAGTGGGGAGAGCAGCATGAACCAAATCATGCCAGGACTGGGAACTGATCCCATGACCAGCATGATGAGGACTGTAGCCTCTGTAGGTCAGGCGCCTGCTCTACCAACTGAGCCAAACTGGCACCCTTTCATTGATTTTATGAACTTTTGATCTTGTGATTGTTCCAAAAACATGGCCAGCTTGGAGAGAGGTTGTCTCCAGGATCCTAGATGTAAACTTAAAATCACAGCGCATTTAACAGCAGATAAGTGACCATGTGCGAATTACACAATATTTTGAACTGACTGTTTTAAAAGAGTTTCAACCATAATTTTGACAAGGAATATTTTTAATTCAGTATTTGATTCCATTATATGTATATATATATATATATTTTTTTAAAGCTCACAGCTCACGATTTCTTAATCTGAAGACGGTACCGTTTTTTCAAGTCTCCTTGTAGCCACCATCAACGTCGAGTAACGTTCTGTTTTTGTAGAGTTGTGTTTGTCTGCCTTTGTTACTCTCTCTTATACTGGCAGCTTTGTCTAAGCTTCACCACTATTCAGATCACAACTGTGTGTGTGTGAGTCTGTGTGTGTCTGTGTGTGTGTGCCCTGAGCTGTGCCAGCTGAGTTGGTAGTAAACACCCCTACGCTGTCCTTGTTTGACAGAGGTTAGGGAGATGCCAGGAAAAGACCTCCCCGCTGGTGTGTGTGTGTGTGTGTGTGAGTTTGTTTGCATGCTCGCTGTGTTTGTATATTTGCGCGGGTGTGTATCTGTAACAGGATTAGAATCGGAGGAGAGTTTTTGAAATGTTTTAGCCTTTAGATGAATGGATTCCCGCCCCTGGTGCCTTTCAGTAGCAGAGCTTCCCCTGCAGTGCTGCCCTCCATTTGCCTCTCCTAATTCATATTCTTCATCCTCTCTCTGCAGCCTTTTGTACTCGTTCTCTTTGACAACCTTTAGACCTGCATTACCATAAGTGCCAGATGCTTAATTTGACCAAATACATTTCAGATGAAGGTTCATATGCAACTAGAAACAAAGGCTTGTCCCACAGATTATTGAGCTAATTATTATCCAAATTGAAGCTCTTATTATACCACATTTTATTATATCAGTGATGACATGATAGATTGCTTTTGCCACTTTATGCTCAGAATGGTATTTAAAGGATTCTTATAGAGATGGACTTTTTTAGGAACATTACTTCACCTGACGATGCCAGACTCCTTTGGAAAAACTGGACTTTCTCCTCTCAAAACAAAGAAATTGCTGATTGGTGAATATCTTGTGGATTGCCATCTGCAACAATCTGCTGATGTGGTCGACACAACTCGATGAGGGTTTATTTTTTTCATGCTTTGTAAATGTCAGAGTGAGGAGTGACACATCTGACATCCGTACTATGTTTGCTGAGAGTGTCACGAGTACAGCACTGACAGGTGAACTGAAAATAGCAACATGGCGGCATTGTTGCAACATCATTGTACAACTTTTCTAGTCCCAAGGATGTGTGAGGATAAGAGCTGCCTGCAAGATCTGTCGACCAGGACTTGCTTTTGCACAAAGGTTTGAGGAAGGACATAATGACATGATCAACCAGTGGGCCAAAGTTGGAGACACATTTTCAGCTGCTCTTACCACAATACACTTGATCTCTCTCTCTCGCTCTTTCTCTCCTTTTCATTTCCTTTCTTCTTTTACTGTAAAACATTGGACACCACTTTTGTCAAACGTAACATTCTAATGAAATCATTCGTTTTAATATAAATCAAATGTTAAATTAAAAAGCTGATCCCTAATTAAGAACTGTTCTGTTCCTGTGCAGTTTGGTATCGGATTAATCGACTGATCATTTCAATGATAGATGATAGTTGACTATCAAAATCTTTAAGCGTGGTCTGTAGGTGAGTAAAGAGCGGGAGCGGTGCTTCAGTCAGTCCCTCCCATCCATTTGAGTGCAATGTCTCTTGTTATGTAAACTCTTGTTATATGTAAACCTTTTTAAACTGCTGGTTGCAGCGGTTGTCATTCTGCCATCTCTTATTTGAGTATTGTGAAACACTCCATCAATAACAAGCCTCATTTACAAGTGGTTTCACTGTTGTTATGTTATAATGGAATATCTGGTTC